TCACGAGACAATGGATTTTGCTTAACGTTCCACTTAAAGAGCTCTCTACATAAGACAACAGGTTGCTGAGAAAATTTAATTCAACAGTCAAGAGATTCAAACATTGACCCTTACTAGACCTTAAAATCCAGACAACTTGTTCTAATATTCATACAAATGAAATGTTCTTCCACTAGATAGGCAAAATTCTTTGACTGATGAAAATGTACCCATGACAGTCCCCTTGGGACTCAACTAATTTAGGAAAACTGAAGCCCACTAATTTTACATTTGAAAAGCACCAGTGACATGAATAACTATTTTTAAATCTTATTTGTCCCTAAGCAGACAAAACTCTTGTAAACTGATGAGTTAAGGCAGTCCTGGCTGACAACAGATTGTGCAAACTACACACAGTCGGAGGAATTTATTGTCACGCACAACTAGCTGGAACATGTATTAAATGAATACTGTTGCATATAGTAAAGCATCAGAGTAACTTCATGATTACTCTCTTCCAGGCAAATTCAGTCATTAATGATTCATACAAATTTCACTACCAAGATTCAAAGCCAGGGTTCTGATTAATGTGCACTGTTTTCAACTCCACAGGTACACTTCCATATATTTCATTATATAATTGCCAATGAGATTCAAACATTTTTCTTTCTGCTTTTCTCTGTACTACATTTCAACTTGTTATTTTCACAAAGAATTATGAATTATTTCTCACATAAATACCCAGTAAAGGCATTAAACTACTACTCAGAACTCTTGCATTTCCTCTTTTGCTAAATATATCAACAGTAATATTTTGAGCACTTGCAAAATTCTGCATAAAGACTTTCAGATGAAACAGGAGAGAAAAATGAAAATGGGCAGTAAAGTCCCAAATAGGATAAGAGAACTTCCTAAAGACTACGTTCACATCTCAGTGTACATCCAGATGCTCTTAATGCTAAATAACTTCAAAACAACTACCCTAAAGGTAGGGTAGCCAATTTCCAAAAGTGAAAAGGGTTAAAAAAAGAGAAAGGAAATATCAATAATCTTTTTTTTTCTGTGTGTGCTCTTTGAATGGAGCAGGCAATTCATGACTCTTAAAAGTCAGTAGTGATGTTTTAAACAGCATGAGATGTAAAAAATGACATATCCCTGAAACACATCTCTCTTCCTTCTGTTTGAAAGGGTCTTGTTTGAAAGAGATTATGAGTGAGATGGGTCAGAGGCATGAGGTATTTGTTGAACAGGAGCCCAATATAGCTCAACCTTATTCTAGAATCCTAAAGGCAGTGTTTGTGGTTTGATTAACTCCTTAAAACAAGACCTCCAAGAAACAGACACAGAGCTCTGTACAGAACCCAGGGTGAAGACCAGGATCTTTTGCTACATAATTGATTACATAATTGATCTTTTGATACATAATTAGCCGTGCTCCAAATTGCAGCATCAGTTGCACCTAAAAGAAGTAAAATCAGTGAATTAAATTGTCTTCAATGCTAAGCTAGAGTGGCACCACTAGGGGTCACACACAGAAACCCATGTAATGTAGCACCCTGTGACTGTATTTGGCCATGGTAACTTTGAACATAGCTGAACTGCACTGAAAGAAGCCAAAGATAAAACTATTTTTCTTCTATCTCCAAAGTAACAAATGAGACTCTGGATTCCTTAACAATAACTGTCTTGAAGTTTCACATAGCTGTATATACAACACCTTAATTTCTGTTATATTAAGGTGTATGAAACACCTTAATTTCTGTTGTATGGATTTGACTTCTAAAGCTAATTCTATACACTATGAAACTACAGCCAGCCCAGATTCACCACAGCAGGCTTCTAGGCAGGCTCCAGGATGTTGTCTCTGAAGTGCCCTACTGTCACGAGCTGTGCAAAACCTTCACCAGAAATATAAACCACATATGCTATTCTAAGCAGCAGAGCAAGCTGGGAATCCCCAATGCCTCTGACTGTTGCATTTTTCTGCTATAGGAGAAATGATCCCCTGTTCCAACACATCCTGGATAACAGAGACAAACCTCAGTAGAACAGGCATCTTTCAGTATCAGTGACTGAGTGATGTAACCAGAAGCAGGAGAAATGCACATTTGCTGTGTCCCTGTGGAGGTGGACGGAGATAGGTGTTGTCAAATTCCAAATGGGTAGATTAAGGAAAAAAATGTTCTGGTGCTTCCTCTCTGAAGGAGAAGTGACAAAGTAATTTGTTAGGAGTTGTAATTACATACCATAGCTTCTACCAGAGTTTTCCATGGGAAATGTTTTCCCATGTTTTGTACAGTCCATTTGAAGGTAGTAGAGTCCATTTGAAAGGAAAGGGAAATTCAAGAGGTTACTTGAAGTTTTTTTATTGAAATAATTTTTGTATTTTAAGTAATATTACCTTTTATTTTACCTCACATACCTTAACTGATAGACTTATTGTTTTGTCCTTTCAATACTCATGTCAATTTGGAGTTTCAGGCCAAACACTGTATCCAAAGTGCACAGCTTTAGGCAACTGAATCCAGAAAAAAAATTTCTGAGTACGTCTTTGCTTGTTCCTACAGCTTCCAATGCTTTATAATTAGAAACATCTCAAACAATAGGACTCAACAGTTACAGCAAGTAATTCTGCTACTGTTTGTCTTCCTTTACATCTAATGCAGAGATAATTATCTCTTTTCCAATTCTCAAAGTTTTTTTAAGTTATTTAACTTGCTCTGAAAAACGCTGAGACTGCTTTTGAAGATGAGGCATTAAGTGTAATCCACAGCCTCTTTGCTTTCTGTTTACTTTTTGAAGGTATTTCTCACAGCCCTTTGTCCTTGAAAGCTCTTGACAGTTTTATAGGTGAGGATGGTAAAGTTGTGTCAAATACTATACAGCTGTATCGATGGCTGTCTATACAAATGCTTTTTGGCAGTAAGATTAGATACAACAAAATTCTTAATATTTTTATAGTGGAGGGATTTAGGCATCTTCTGGAACTGAAATTCACACAGCTTGCCACTCTTTCCAGATGACAGCCTTGTAACTAATGGTAATTTTATTTTAAACATATAATCTTGACAGTTCAATCACCACTTAAGTAAACAGTGATGATTAAAAATGAAGTATAAAGGGTCCCTGCGAGATATTTGGTACACAGCATATGAAGAATTATTTATACAACTAATACTACTAATTCTGAATTCTGCATATTTATTTCCATATTCAATTCAGTTTAAAGAAAACCAAATCTCTAAAAGGATTTTTCAACTGATCTTTATAAACATTGCAATTACTACACACAACTTTTTCCTGTTCCCCTAGAAATCTGGAACCTCCACAATTATATCTTAGTAATTGGCTTACACAATTTTAAACTCAACTGTTTGATTCAGGTAATGGCTGCCCACAGTAATGACTGTTAAGTCAATATTTTGGTGGAAGTGAGATATAACGCATCGCATAAAAAGCCATCTGTTTTAGTGAAGTTATTCAGAGAAAATATGTCACTTTCAAATTATGTGGACATACTCCAAATGATTTAAAAAAGCATTTTGCAGAGTTGAAACATCCCTGATCTATCAGGGTATTTTCTCTCACTTAACTTAAACTTTGCCAGGTTCCTCCAATCAACAAATAATCCCTCTCCGAATAACCTCTTGATTGCTCTCCTACAATTAACATTGCTTTAATTATTTATTGACTTCCCATTAGGGCAGAAGAAGGGAAAGGGTGGAAACACTGGACATCATCAACTATGAAAAAGTCCTCAATGAAGGACTGCTCAAACTCTCTTTGTTCTGTATCTAGCGATCACACAAAAAAATAAGAGGAGTCACACCTGTATGACTCCATTCCTGATGCCACACAAATGGAAGGTAAAGACACATTCTTTCAAAATACTGGCCAGGGACACCTCTAGCTAAAAACTAAGTATCACACTGTGGTGACACTGAAATGGAATGCATTCTGGTATTAGAGACACAAGGCTCTAGTCCTGGAAAGATTTCATTCTGAATGCTTTCTAACCAAAATACAGGTATATCCTTCCCAGCCAACTCCCTCTTAATTTGGTAATAATGTTTGTTTGATGTTTCTGTTCTGGGGTAAATAGTCAATACACAGTGGGATTCACATTAAATTAAGGAAAATGGGTACATCCATCCACACGTGCAGCACATGTCTAAAGACAACTTTGGAGCACACCTTAAAATAGGCACCTAGTACCTCGTCAGCATTCTTTAGGTTCCAAGGATTATAGGGGATTCTCATTTAGTATAATGATAGTGCAGTTGCATACATGGGGACTAAATTGGTACATCAGACAATACCACCATCATGTCTGTTCCAAGTTACTCTAAAAGTCAGAATGAAAACCAAAAATCCTAAGACAGGCAACGGAATCCACTACTTATGGGGCATCTTATGAAGACAGGTTGGGCATATTTCAGTTGAATGAGGAAAATAACAAGATGATACATGGAACAGCACTGGCTGATGTGTACAAACAAAATGCAAGGAAGTGCTATTTACTGTTTGTGTTGGAGACATGCTGTTTCTGAATTCTTCACTCATTTGCTGACCTATTTTTAAAACAGAAATTTGCAAATATCTAGAGAGTGACAGACCTTCTGCAGTAAACCAACCTATTTTATCTAGGTGGTCAAAAAAGAATAAAAATAATTGTATATTCATTACTTTGTGAATATCTACAATACATCTTCAGCAAGAGAAACAATGTGTTTTTCTCTCATATTTTCTATAAAGTTGCTTTTAACTGCCTTTTTATCCATTCTTAAAAGACCTATACTCAGGAACAAGATAGAACTTCTTGCATGCATGAACAAGAACTCTTTCAAATGCTTTAGAGCATTTATTGCCCATATCACAAAAAAGAACAATCACAAAAATCTCAAAGTGGTATTCTTCAAAATATAATAAGGTCAACTGATATTTAAGAAGTGCATAAAACTAGAAGAATATTCCATTATACTGATGTGGGGTAGGAAAGATGGAAGATATTTTAAACTTACCCTATTGACACTGCTGTTTCTTAAAATAATTTGAATTAGATTTTTCTTAAATTCTTCCAGCTTCTTGAAACACTTTTTTAAAACATGATTAGATAGTTTAGTATCAGTTATTAAACTGACCAAAACAGAAACTGCTTCAGTAAGAAAATTCGAAACTGGAAATTTAGGACTCTTGTAAAAAACAGTCAGTCCATCAAGTAACTGAGACACTGAATTGCATATGGTGAAAGAATCATTCTCAAGCTGTGAGAAATCTGCTTGAAGAATTCCTCCTTCTGACAGTTTTCTTATTTCAAGCAAGTGTTGCAAAAACTGTACTGGAGCAGTCAGAGATCGCTCCTTGCTACTATGGCAAAGATTCAATGGGGGAACTTTGACATTATGCTCAGATTGGTGAAAATCTGAAGCTATGCCTAAAGAATCAAATGCAGAGTCATTAGAGACATCACATCCAGAGTCTTCTAGCTGGCTTGAGTAATTCGTAGGGTTTATAGATTCTTGATTCAGAAGAGTTTCAGCAGAGGTACCTGGTTTTCCTGAAACGCAAAGGTGAAAGTTACATTTGTGCAATGTTTCATTATGTACACTTATGGAAGGTGCTTTCGGGCAAAAATCACATATTACACATGTATTTTGCTCCCCAAGAACTTCCCCTGACTAGAATTTAGCTGTCAAAGATGATGATATTTTTAAATTAAAGTCAAAACTTTCACAAGATAGTGTCTATTTGTGAACAAGGTGTTTTATGTTTACAGCAATTTTTTCAAACTATCAGGGATTTTAAGTTTTCACATATATAATTTAGACAAATATAACACAAACCATTTAAGTGAATATCTATACTCCCATTAATTCCCAGGGAAGAAAATGCATGTAAATTTTTGGTGCCCCAAACATTTTCACTACTTTTACTCTCAAGAACTCTGACTGCTTTTAAAAGACAGTGAAGGTCTGTTACTATAATTGCATCAAATAAGATATTCTCCTTTATGTGTACTCTTTCTCCCCAGTCAGGTAAGGAATTCTAACAGAGTCAAAGCTGAACAGAACATTACACTTGATTTTTTTATTATTTAAAAGAGAAAAACATTCAGAATCAAAAGCTTCTCCAGTCACCATCTATCTCATCTTCTTCAAAGACAGCCAAACTACATTACAGAAGGTATGCATTGCATTCACACCAATGAATTACTTTTGTGTACTACTGTAGAATCTCTTTCATCCCATTTCTCACATTAAATACATTTAAGACAGTACCTCTTGGCATAAACACGGTACTAGGTGACAACAGACACCTGTTCTACATGCAACCTATGCAAAAAGATCACACAAAACAAGCAAGAGCAGTGAAGTGGAAGACCAATGCACATCAACATCTTGATGCCACAAGGCAAGGCTAGAACCCCATCTGGTTCTGCTCTGCTTACCAGGGCACAGCCACAAATTGCTTGTCCTCTCTTAAAAAACTTCTATATACTCTTCATATTTTCCACAAGGATTCAAAGCAATACCATACTCCTCTCTCTTTGTATTCTTAAATTAATAAAAGAGCTTATAGTTGGTTTGGTCTAAAAGGAAATAAATGTTTCATTTCATAGCAAGTTAAAGAAAGCATTTTTAACACAGAAAATATCCCCAGGCAGCAATCCAGAATGTTCTGTGCGCTAATAAAACACTACTCAAAAATTTTTATACAGACTTCATTAAATTTACAATTTCAAATTGAATTCTGACCATTACTTTAATCCCTGAAAATATACCAGATCATCCAATGACAGCAGTGCTACCAAGATCAAAACTGGAAACATAGCTTATTTATTTATTGATGAATTTCATGCCTTTAACATTCAGAGGTATTTGAACCGCACAGGATTCATAACAATTGACTCAAAATGAAAGGGCCAACTGTAGGGAAATCAACTGCTTGTTCCAGGACATAGGAAAAGCTGGGCTTTTAAGGCCAGCCTAGCATTTTACAGAATAACACTGTTTCCAAATGCCCTGCAGGCCCAAACTTGGAAAGCAAGCAAAGAAGCAAAGCATGCTTCCCATGAACAGCCACCAATCCCTCATGTCTTCTCTCCCTAGGGTTTTGAGCAAAACACATTCCAGAAGAAAAAACCTGAAAGTTGGTTTTGGTGTCATTTAAGGAAAATAAGCCCTTCTAGGGAATCCATCTACTATGAGTTCCACTATGAGGTTATTTTATTCCTGTTCTTAATCCCACGGGGCAACATGAAAATTGCTCATGCGGATATAATGCCAGAAGTCAAAAGAAGAAAGCAAGAACTACGTGCAAAAAATCCATATGTATGTTCACTGATTCTCTTGTGGAAGGAAAAAAAATAGCAGAGGTGAAAGAAAGGAGAAGAAAGGAGAAGAAAAATAGAAGGATAGTACAGCAAGATCCACAGGAACCAAACTTAAGCTGTTCTCAAATAAAAGAGATACCATGTTCAATGAAACACTCCTTCCAGCAGGAGACAATGCTGCATTTACACTTGGGTTTCTATTCACTGACATATCAAACTCCTGTCCCATGATGAGATTCCAGAAAACCGTGTTACAGTCCCCAATATCAGCATATTCCCAGTTAAATGAGTAAGACAAAATGCTTTAAAAATGTTTACTCGTTTATATGTTCTAGTCATCTGGGGAGATGGTAGTTATCTTTAAAACAAGATAAATAAATAACCCACCAGGCAATATTTATTATTTCCCTCAAAATGCCTAGAAATAGCTTATAATTTATTTCTTGAAAGAAGCTAAACTAATGACTTTGTACTGACCTATTATTTAAAGAAGAAAGCAGTATGACATTCACACCATGTGGTTATCAAGTACAGAAAAAAAAACCAAACAGCATTAAGCTTGCCTCACACTAACAAGAATCTTTAAACAGTAATTTCAAGAACATTTGACTATAAATATATTGGAACAAGAAATATGAAAATTTAGTGTATGTAAACTGATCACAAAATTTTACAATGCCTTTATATAAGTAATTAAATATCTGGTCATGAGCAATTTTGTAGCCTTCTTAAATATGTCACATAAGATTCAGGAAACATTTAAACTCTTAATTCCTGTTTAGGACTTTAGCTCCTTACTACTGTAAGATTCTGAGCTGAAAAAACAAGCAAGATCCTGAGCCCCAAGCAAAGCAAGATATGGTCACAAGAAGAGCCTTGGGGTGCAAAGGCTGAAGAACTGACATCCCTCTAAATATACTCACCACTGCAGAAAGATCATGGCCTGAAAACCAGAAATCGTTAAGGGACAGGGAAGTGACTTGCAAACTGTGTACAGTATGTCAGCAAGGTGTACAGGCACTAGAACTCACATGTACATTCTGCAGTGGGACCACAAAACACAGAGGCTTTTGTCAGGGCAGAGAGGTGCCAACCAGCCTCATGATTAGAGAATGGGGAGTCTTCAGCTAGTCCTGAGGAAGTAGAGCTCTGGTAAACACCAAAATCAACCCCATCTCCCAAATTCATTCTCTCATCCCTAACGTGGGTTGAGAGGCAGCCTGTAGCAGGAGCAGGGGTGGTGAAAGATGCTTTCTTAGACACCTGTGTACTGCCACAGACCAGACAGCATTTGAATGAGGAAGGTCACATGCCACATGTAGTTCAACATTTAAAAACTGAAGAAGGGTCCTCAGCTCATGAACTTGCTGTAAAATGATAAAATGGTCTTCCAGTCTTTTGAAAAACTTAATACCTGCAGCTCCACCACCAACAGGGACTGTAGAACAGAAAACAGGCTTGAAGGTGGCAGAGGCAAGAAACAAAGTGAATACATTATCTGAATTCTGCAAAGAAAAAATTACTTCAGTTTCAAGCTTTAGACATTGTTAATACTCTCTCACTGTGTGAGCATATGCATGGATTATCACTTGAAAATCAAAAACAATGACATTAGACATTTAAAGTTCTCTTAAAACTCGACAGGCTCAGTTCCATTTCTAAAAGAAAGAGACAATTAAAAATGAGACAATCTTGGAAACCTCTTTGATGATACTGCATTCTGCTTTCCAAGTAGGTGTTCAGTCAATAACCTCTAAAAGGAAATGAAAACCTAAGTGAAATTATGTCCACTTCTGCATTTTTTAGGACTATCGGTTATTCCTCATTTAATCTTCATTGATTGGTTTGTTTGAAGTGCACTTTATATGAACAATGAATCAGGTTTATTCTCTTATTAAAAAACCCACATGCCTTTTCTTCATATGTAACGTCTCTATTCTGCTGTTTTCATTACTAACAAAGCTGGCTGGTTGAGAAAAAAAACAGCCCCCCCAACCCAACCCAAACCCAATGTCGTGCCATATATTTGGTACACCACTGTTGTCCTGACCTGAAACCAAGCCAAACTTCTGTTTTCACTATTCTGAAATAGTAATGAAAAAATAATAAAAAGATTCTAGGATTCTCCAAGAAGAAATTTTAGAAGCCGTGTATCCCACACTTTTCATCTGCATTTCTATGTTTTTTTATGACCACCTCGGAAAAAAAATGTCCTCTGTTTAAATCTAGGGTGCTTTTTTATGCTTTTTAATGCTAAGGTGCATGCTGACATACTTTATCCCATTTAGGAATAATTTCACAGAAATGAATATAGGATTGAGTATCTAAAATTCTCAATGGATCGCTCAATGCCAGGGAATAAATGCTTCTCTGAAGGCTTAGAAGCATATACTTCAATTTGTTAAGGATTTTGCTAACATAAAGCATCTAAATGTTTAGAATTCAGTAAGAACTGAGAAGGATTTCGAGGATATAAACATTCATTTTAGGGGATTTCTGTAGATGACAGCACAAGTCTTTTGTAGTTCAAGTCAAATAAAGAATACTTGCAGTAAAGATATGAAAGGCTAAATAATCAGGTGACAAACACGGATCTGGGTCAGTTAATGCTCATCAAGCAATATGACAAAAGATCTGACAGTCTTTACAATATTGACCATCTCAATGACATGACTGAAATTTGATTTCTAAGCTAGATAGGGGATATTTCAAGATATTAAGTGAATTAATGTTACCTATAGACTGCAGGTCTGAACTGGTGGTACTGAACTGGAAATATTATGTCTTATTAAAAATGCTTCACACTGCAAAACAAACTGAGCTTTGCTAAGAGACATGAAGTATCAGCCAATGACATGGATGAAATGAAGGCTGAAATAAAGTGGACTCCTTAAGAAATCAGCTAGAGTATTCCTTCCTAAAAAAACCCCTCTTTTCTTGAATATAACATGGTGTAAATACTTAGTTTTTCTCTTCATATATACACAAGGACACAAACAAAGATTTGCTTGAGGAACTGAGATTCTAAGCTTGAGTTAGGTTAAGGCTGCCCAAAGAGGTTGTGAAATCTCCATTCACAGGGACATTCAGAAGGTGCCTGGTCACAGCTGTGTCCTGCACAACTGGCTCTAGGTGGCCATGCTTGACAAGGGACTTGGACAAGACGAACTTCAGTGGTCCCTTCCAGTGTCAACAATTCTGTGATTCTGTATTTCCAGTGAAAA